TTCTGGTCTCTGCCCCTCCTGCCTATCTCAAGGTGGCCTGATCTGTGGGTCCCCATGTAGAATTTCTGTCCAGCTAGATTTTTCTTTTAATTTATTTATTTTAATTAGTTTCAGGTATACAGTACATTGATTAGACATCTATATAGTTCACAAAACAATCCCCCCGATTGCTCCCTCCCTTCCCTGACCCTCCACCTAGCCAACGTGCTAATGCTAACTGCATTCCCTATGCCTTGCTCCCCATTCCCATGACCATCTGTCAGCTACTAAATTGTACTTCATTAACCCTTCACCCCATTCTCCCATCCCCCCAAACACCCCTCCCCTCTGTCCATCACCAAATTGTCCACTATATTTGTGAGTCTGTTTTTGATTAGTTTGTTCTTTTTATTCCTTAGATTCCGCATATAAGTGAAATCATATAGTGTTCATCTTTCCCTGTCTGACTTAAATAATTTCTAGGTCCATCAAAGCAATTTCTTTTCCCATCTCCTTCCTTTTAGTCTGTGTGTCTTTTAATCTGAAGTGAGTCTTTTGTATTTTTTCTTCTGAAAGAAGTCCTTCCAACATTTCCTGTAATACTGACTTGGTGGTGATAAATTCATTTAACTTCTTTTTGTCTGGGGAGCTCTTTATCTGTCCTTCAATTCTAAATTATAGCTTTGCTGGATCAAGTATCCTTGGTTGTAGATCCTGGGTCTTTGTCAATTCGAATATTTTGTGCCAAGAACTTCTGTCCTGCATAGTTTCTTTTGAGAAATCAGCTGCCACTCTTATGATTGTTCCCTTATAAATAACTGTTTTTCCTCTCGCTGCTTTCAATATTCTTTCTTTGTATGTAACCTTTGGCATTTTAATTATGATGTGTCTTGGTGTGGGCCTCTTTGGATCCCTGATTGTTGGAATTCCTGGGGTTTTAGGTCCATTTTCTTCACCAGGTTAGGGAAGTTTTCCATCATTATTTCTTCAAATAGCTGTTCGACATCTTGATTTTCTTCAGTTACGCTGATCAGACGGATATTTGGACCCTTAATAGTGTCCCATATGCTCCTTAAATTATTTTTATAGTCTTGGCATCTCACGTCTTGCCATTCTTTTTGCGTGTCCTTGGCTTTCCTATCCTCTGGATAGGGCATTTGATCCTTTTCTTTATTCACTTTGTTTATTCCTTTGTTTATTCCATTTAATATAGTTCTCATCTCAGATAATGTGTTCTTCATTTCAGATTGGTTTCCCTTTATAAATTCCATTTCCATTTTTTTATGTTTTTTATCTCTTTGTTGAAGTTCTCTACACTTCCCAAAAGTTAACTGAGCATCTTTATAACCACTGTTTTGAACTCTGCATCTGCTAGATTACTTGAATCCATTATATCTGGATCTCTGTTTTGTTCCCTCATATGGTTTCTGCTTCTTTGTCTTCCCATTTTGGCTGTCTTCCCGTGTCTATTTCAAAGCTACCAAGTCTCCCTGTATTTTTAGTGTGGATTTGGGAAATAGGTGTCTGTCTAGTGGCACAGTCCTGAGAGGGGTTCAGCTGCAGGCCAAACCTAGCCCAAGCCTCTACCCCTCTGGGACCACCTGTTAAGATTCAGCAAGCAATCCACAGATGCTGTGCTTATAGTTGTCTCAAAAGGCCACACCAGAAACTGAGGCCAGTTGCCTCCAGTGTGAGTCTAGGCATCGTTCAGCAAGGAGCACCTGACTTGCTGAGGATATACCTGGATACGGTTTGGGTGGGACTGCGAGTTGGGGGAGGTGGAGTTTCAGGAAATCCTCTGGGCGGAGCGACCTCTGTTATCCAGTTTGATGACCTCAAGGCTATGGCAGCACTGTGTCTGTGCACTGGGAGCGGGGAGGGCTCAACAAGGAACAATGGATACTGCAGGCACTTCTGTATAGAGTGCCTCGGCCTTCATTCCAACAATGTCTCCCTGAAAGTCCCTGGTGCCCCCTGCAAGTCCCTGGTGCCCCCTGCGCACAGCTGAGTTGGCACTGGTGTTCAGAGCGAGTCTGGTCCATAACTGTGAAAATCTGCTCTTATATGTGGCCCCTTTACGTGGAGTCTGCTGCTGCCACAGCCTCCGTCTCACTCAGCCGCTCGAGACCGGGCAGCCCCGTGTCCTCACCATGTCCTATCTTCTACCATAGCAAGTTGATTGCTTGGATTTATCCCTAGTTGTATGGATTCTTCCTCTAGATCCCAGGCAATTTTTCCTTGTGGTTTGCTTCTTGTTTCTGTCGCAACTTTGATTTCGTCACCAGAGGGATGAACAGAGCCTCTACCATCTACGCCATTTTTTTTGGTCTCCTGTTCAGATAGATTTTATGCGATTCTCAATGATGGTCATTTTGTAGTTTAGTTGTAACTTTAATATAATCACAAGAGGAGGCAAGCACAGCATTTACCTACTCTGTGATCTTAACCAGAAGCCCTCATTCACTTATAATTACCTAATTTTTTTTATTAAAATTTCCACTTTGACATATTGTTTTTTTTTTTTTTTTTTTTTCAAAAAGAGGAAGATGGCAGCCTAGGTAAGAGAAGGGTTCGCCTCCTTTCAGATCCGCATTGAAATTACAACTAAATTATAAAATGATCAATGTGGAGAATCACCTGAAGTCCAGATGATCATAACACGTACGTCTGATAATATAAGAAGGAGCCGCAGCGAAGCTGGTAGGAGGGGCAAAGTTGCAAATCGGGCTGGCCCCTCACCCGTGGGTGGTGGAGGAACACCGGGAGGGAAAGCGAGCT